TAACCATTTAAAATGAGTAAAACTTTTTTTTCAGTAAATTTAAGTCACCATTATGGTGATCGGTGTTTGTTTTAGGTTTGTTTAAAAAATACGTTTTTCTCTTTCTGTGATTATGCTTGTTAACATCAGGTGTCTTCAATGTTGTCAATATAAAATAAAGAGTTCTTAATTCATCTTTAATGTCTGTCTGTTATTAAGATATTTTTGTTTATTTTTTTGTTGTTGTAAGTTTAACTTATTTTAAATGGTTAACTTTTAAGGAATGATTTGATTCATTAATACTCAATTCTAATTTGTTAAATTTAATTAATAATATTGCTTGTAATCTGTTGCCACAATTTTATTGATTAGATAAAGCGTATTCATTTTTACAGTGTACCTTCCTATTTAGTCTCCCTGCATTTGCAGTCCTGCTGGTTCGTTTCCTATGTTCTTTTGTGTTGCCTGTTTTGCCAGATGCCTATTCTATTCTATTCTATTCTATTCTATTCTATTCTATTCTATTCTATTCTATTCTATTCTATTCTATTCTATTCTATTCTGCTAGTTTTATTTATTTATTTATTTATTTAAAAAAAGTTGGTCACCCTAAGCATACTTTCTCCCATCCAGATTTATATGCAAGCCATTTACAGATTTCCCTTAAGAGTTTAAATGCATTTTTGGAACTTGGTTTTGGCACATTGATTGTTAAAGCCGCCTGACATGGAAGTGGCTCCACCAATTGTGTGAGTTTGGGACGGGGTTTGTCTGTTTTGACGACCAATTGAGTACAGGCAAAGTGTTCAAGGAAACCAGTTTGAAAATAGTCATATTTTTTACCAATAATACTGGACACCGAAATCCTCTGCTGTGAAGTAACAAAAGCTTCTCAGTTACAGCACATGCGTGTGGTTTGGAAGAAGTCTCTGTTTGATTGGATCACAAAAGGGATAATACCTCCACATATCCCGCTACATCAAAGCGGGAGGCCTTAACACCTGTCACATCACATCAGTGGCTTTCCAAGTATGTGTGTGTGTGAGGGGCAGAATCTATCAGGGCAAAGCAGGATCAAAGGGAGGTAAGGTTACTACACGCACAGGTCGTGGGAACACACCTCACTTCCTCACTGCACACGCACATACAAGGATTTTAACTGCAGTGCAAGGGAGATGAACACAAGAAATATAAACCAATAGACATAACGTTAGTTATGATCAAAGAGATGACACATTAGTGATGGATGACTTTCTCTCTCACTTCTCTCATCCCTCATTACCCCTATTTTGCTGTGTTGTGATGATAAGGCTTTAAAAAGTTCACACTTTGTGAGGACGTTCATTGATATAATGCAATCCCTAGCCCCTTTCCCTAACCTTAACCATCACAACGAAGTGCCTAACCATAACCATAACCTTAACCTAATTCTATTAACCACATAATGAAGAACAGCCCTCTCAAACAGCCATTTAAATGGGTGCCAGAACATGAGGAATGGCAAAACGTTGTTCTCACTCTGAGGGTCTAAAACTCAAACTGGTCCTCACAATGATAACTGTACAAGTAAACACACACACATTTGTTCCAGTTCCAGTTTTGCGGTCTTCAATTGTAATCTTTATTGGAAGGCCCTCACTAGCCTAAGAAAGTATTCCTCTCTGTATCCTTTCACTCTTTTTTTCTGTTCAGATATCATACTTCCATGCTTGAAAGCTGTTTGAAAGGTTGTGGAAAGAATTTGTAAATCTAAATGATATGTTTGCCTTTGCTTTGTTTAATTCTGCTCTGTTAAGAATCATATTTAATCTGTACGGTTGAAATATTGAGGCCCTTTATGGAGCTATGTAGCTAGGTATGTGATGAACCTTTTTGCATCCAGCCTCTGGAAAATAAGGAGTTCACCATAATCTGTGGTTTCAACAACAGGACATGACAGAGGAGATGGGAGAAGAGGAGCAGAGAGAGAAAGGGGAAAATAAATAGGGGCGTAAAGACTCTCTAGCCGTTCTCTCCCGGCAAGCGCATTAGTTCCAGGATGTTAAAATGAACTCCGATGGATCATCCTCTTTGTGAGATCGACTTTCATAATGCCCTGTTTACATTTATATGTCCATTTCATTTATGTTTTTAGGCATACACTCTAAAACCACTTACAAAAATGTGTGTGTATTGTGCAGTTATTCAGCAGGTGAAAAAGTTAATAGAAATGTCATCTTTCCCTATTTATCAGAACGTGAACTGTTTATCTCCTTTTGAATGAGTGAATGTTGAGGTATGTAGGCCTACTATGTCAAATATCTTCTTGAGAATAAAACGCCCCAGATGTGCATGTTGATGGCCTGCAGTGATTTCACCACTATGGTTTTAGTTGAAGGTGCTTCCCACAGTAATGGCGCCATCTGTTGGCCAATAAAGTTTTTTTTCTTGTTTTTTTTTTTTTTTTACATTGAACAGAAGTTCAAATGTTTGATAAACACTGCTGTCTGCGTTTAAGTCATGCGTCTAGATCATAGACTGTAAAAACCGGGTTGAAGAAATATTGTTTAGGCCAATTTGTTTGATATAATCCCAACAATTTAACGCAAGTGAATTGAACTCAGATCTTCTTGATTAAAGCCCAACGCTTTATTAACTGAGCCACTGCATCTATTGCGGTTTTGGTTTTATTTGTTGGAAAAATAAATATAGAAATATAATTTGACACAGGGCAGTATAGCCCTATTTATGGTTCTGAGTTTAAACTAAACCGTGACATTCCAAATTGGACCAACGTGATTATTTCACGTCTTATCGTGATACGGGTTGGGCACTGAAGTTACAGGAGTTTCTTCCCGTTGCTAAGCAATGGAACTAGGTCGAGTATTTAAAAGGTTATGGTTAACACGGTTAACCAATAGGTCGTGATGGTAAGTTTTAAGTGATCACGTTTGGGGGGTTTAAACCGCGACATCTACACGTTTTCAAAAGTAGACCAACGTGAAATAATCATGTCTTGATTATTTCACGTTGGTCTTGTCACGATACCGGGTTGAAGAAATATTGTTTAGGCCACTTTGTTTGATATTATCACAACAATTTAACGCAAGTATGGGAATTGAGCTCAGGTCTTCTTAACTGAGCCACTGCATCTGTTGAGTTCAAGGATGTATTGGAAGAGGTTTTATTGCAGGTTTGGCTTTATTTGTCGGAAAAATAAATATAGAAATATAATTTGACACAAGAGGGCAGTATAGCCCTATTTATGGTTTTGAGTTTAAACTAAACCGTGACATCTACACGTTTTCCAAAGTGGACCAACGTGATTATTTCACGTCTTGTCGTGATACGGGTTGGGCACTGAAGTTACAGGAGTGTCTTCCCGTTGCTAAGCAATGGAACTAGGTCGAGTATTTAAAAGGTTATGGTTAACACGGTTAACGTGGTTTAACGTCGATGTAATACGTTGTTTTAGCTTACCTTTTGCTTATTAGAGGAGCTGGAGGACGCCGGAAAAATAGACATTTTACTCTTTGGCTGCTTCATTAAAAACGTGACATTTAGACATTATATATATATATAGCCTATTGCATTTTAAATAATAGAACATTTCTCAGTGATCGTAAATAAAACAAAATTCAATTTTTCTCGGTTTAATGAAAACCTACATCTACACATTTTCCAAAGTGGACTATTTAGGCTGCTTCATTAAAAATGTGACATTTAGACGTTTTCTTCGGCGTGGATCCAGGCAAATGAATCCTTTTCACCTTGAAAATAAGAAATGTTTTTTTTTTTTCTTGCATTTTAATAGACCATTTCTCAGTGATCGTCAATAAAAGAAAATTCCATTTTTCTCGGTTTAATGAAAACCAATAGGTCGGGATGGTAAGTTTTAAGTGTAAGTTTCATGTTTGAGGGGGTTTAAAGCGTGACATACACGTTTTCCAACGTGATTATTTCACCTCTTGTCAGGATACGGGGTTGGACAGGGTTTTATTGCGGGATTGGTTTTATTTGATGGAAAAATAAATATAGAAATATATTTTGACACAAGAGGGCAGTATAGCCCTATTTATGGTTTTGAGTTTAAACATCTAATAACAATAAATGTTTTTTTTTTGTTTGTTTGCATTTTAAATAATAGAACATTTCACAGTGATCGTAAATAAAACAAAATTCCATTTTCTCGGTTTAATGAAAACCAATTAGTATTATTAGTATAATATTATTAGTTTTAAAAACTACAGACATGGAGGACGTGCGAGTCCAGGTTGAGTAGGGTTTATGGGGTTTGAGTGATTAATTATCAGTATCTAACCAGACGAAAATGTATTTATTCAATATTGCTACATTTTATTGCAGCTGCAGGAGCATTGTAAACTTTTGTAAAGATAGGCTACATTTAGCCATTAACTTTTATATGCATCATTACATTCTTGCGAAGGAGAATCTCTGCATGAAGGACCCACGACTGGCAGATGAACATGCTACAGCATTTCTTTCCGAAATGGTAAGAAATTATATTAGATTGAATGGAGGATTTTAACGCTGACGAGATGATTGACAGGGCAGGATGCAGGCGACAGATCTGCCAGTTAAAGATGAAGTAGTCGGCTATGTCCCAAAGCTTGCCTACTTTTGCTACACACTCAAAAGTAGGCTATGTTCTTTTTCTTCACAAAAAAGAGTACTTGTTTTAGGGCGCAGCATCGTGCGTAGCAAAAGTAGGCGATTTGGGATGCAGCCTCAGTGACAAAAAAACATGCTCACTCACTTGTCGCCGCCTACTGCCTTAATGCAGAAGGACCACTAAATTAATCAGTATTTATTTATTTTTATTTTTAATAAACTGATTCAAAAGATTCGAGTCATCGATATGAATTAATGAATCCCGGACGGGATATGTGAATGAATGGAGTGCAACTTTAAATCTTCCTTTTATCCTCTCTTCATGTCGATTGACAGACCAGAGGCGGGAGGCGAGAGCAGCAGTAGCGCGAGCTGCGAGGCGGTGGCTCGCACTTCGTTTTGCCCTATTATGGTCACGAGCGTGACAGCGCGCGCTACCCAGCATGCGCCGCGGCGTGAGGCTCCGCCACAGCCAAGATGACCGACTTTGAGGAGCCGCTTTCAGACGAGGAGAAGGTAAAAATAAACAATAAGTACCTTTAACAAACCACTCAAATACACGCGCTCGTATGTCCTCATATTAAAGCACTCCGTTTGCAGAAGGTTTAATGGCTGCTCCCCGGAAGGAGCGCGAGGCAGTCTAGCCGGTTAGCAATGTGCTAATTTGTGAGGAAGTGAAATCGCAGCTTTGCACTCCCTTAAAACACAGATACCTGACTTAATAACAGCGATGCACGGAACAAATAACCAGTATTTGAACAACCCTCGGGCTGTACGTTAGAGTCAAAATGGCCGTGTTGTTTCCAGTGGTAGTGTTGTGACTATCAGCTGTTAGCCTGTTAGCTGTCAGAGGGAGTTCAGAAATAGATGTCAGCAGATCCACCCACTCCGAACCGAGCCGATGGGCTTTAACGGGCCGTGCTCTGGTAGAGTTACACATGTGTGGGACAGCAGATGCCAGATCCTCCTGACACGAAAGCCATCTGAGCCGAAAACATCGGCCGGATGAAGTTACGACCGCAAGGACGGGTGTGTTTTGGGGTGGAAGTCTGCAATCTCTGCGGGTTTGAGTGGATAGTGCATCATTTACACAAAATCTGTCATCATTGATACACTGTGTTGTTTTTGCAGTAAAACACAAAATGAGATGTTTGGAGAATGCCAGTCTCAGTCACAGTTCACTTTTAATCGCGTCTTTTTGCATAGCCTATATTAAAAGTGAATGGTGACCGAGGTTGTTATTCATATGTTTTCACTTTGACAGTAGGTTTGAGTTTCATATGGTGCAGGCCAGTGGTGACTGATTTTATTCGTGCTTTTTTGCCATTCTATCTCTGTGGAAAAGCTGCGTTTAACCGCCACATTTTCTTCCCTTTAATACACTTTCTGTATACTGTCAAAGCTTTGAGTTCCAGGCTCAGCTGACTTCCTCAGCCAGACCACATGAGATGATAATTTAGAAAGATTACCAGGTGCTTCCCTTTATGTTAACCTCTTTCTCTTCTCTTCATTATTTAAAATGTATTCGTCCCTTTGGTGGTCAGAAAACTGCACTGCTCATGTCATTTGGTTCAAAAGACATTAACTGTATGGTTTGTTGTTTGTGTGATCAGTGAAAGTTGCTTTTAATTGAATTAACAGCAGCAGTTCAGGTTAAGTGAATTAATATGGTTTCAAAACAATTTTAATTGACAAAGTTTACCCAAAAATGAAAATGGTCATCATATTTTACTCTCAACATGTCTCCCCAAACCGTATGACTTTTCTTCTTTGGATCAAAACAATTTTGAAAAATGTATTTATTTTTTGTCAATACAATGAAAGTCAATGGTTTTGTAAAATAGGGAACTATTACAGTAGTAATGTTTATAATTATTATTATTTTTTTTAATTATGATAATTATTAGTATGTACATATTTTGGGCTTTGTTTAAAAAAAAATCATTAAAAAAAATCATTCACTTTTTAATTTTAATTTGCTATTACAATATTCATCAGAATTTTGTTTCTGCCTCCACATCATCAGCCCAATCACTGACTTTCATTATATGGACAAAACAGTTTAAAAGACATTCTTAAAAAAATATTGTATTTTAGTGAACTATCATTTTAGTAGCACACAACAGATCTGATGTATAATTGAACTGGTCTGAAACACAAATACATTTAAGCTAAGTTTGAGTTTATGTGGAGTTGGTTTGAGTTAGATATTTTTGGATTTTTATTACTGTGGGTGATGTGGTTTTGAAGTATTAACAGTGTTTAAATGGTAAGTTGTGCTTTTTTGGGGATATGTGGATTGTTGAGATCTCAGCAATGTGTGTTATTGAAGTGTTACAGGGTTCATGTATGCTGTAATTTGAGCTCTGGAGTCACTCGCCAGAAACTGGCTGTTATTCAGTATTGCTGAAGCCACCGTGTTTCAGTAAGGCAAATATGTGCCCACTTGTAATTTATTATGTTTTATTTCCGCAGGTCCGCATCGCATCTAACTTTGTGACCCACGCTCCCCCAGGAGAATTCAATGAAGTCTTCAATGGTGAGTGTCAATTTAAGCTGTTATGGGAACTTTTTCAGTTACATTATTGGTCTAAAGTGGTAGTTCATGAACACATGCTCAGTCTAGTTTTTCATTATGCTTTTACTACTTGCTGATGTGATCTGATGTGTCCTGTTGCATACTACGACATGTATACTAAAATCAAACACACACTAGTACTACACACCATGCACATTTAAACTACCATGTTTAGGGTCATTTAGATTTTGAATGAAATCAATACTTTTGTTCAGCATTTTATTGATCAAAAGCAACATTTAAAGATGATTTCAATATCTATTTCAAAGAAATGCTGTTTTTGAACTTTCAAATAAATCATAGAATCCTATTAAAAAGCATGTCTTTAACATTTGAAGAAATTATTCTTCAGCACCAAATCTGCATATTTGAATGATTTCTGAAGGATCATGTGGCACTGAAGTAATGGCTGTTAAAAAAATTGCTTTTACATCACAGGAATAAACAACATTTTAAAATATATTAATATAGTACTGTATTTTGTCAAAATATCTTACTGTGTGTTTGATCAAATAAATGCAGCCTTGTATAAGAGACTACTTTAAAAAACAATTTAAAAAAATCATATAGACCCCAAACTTTTAAATGGTAGTGTACAGTTTCTATACTGTACTACAGTGCACACTATACTACAAGCCGGATAGCAGACCGTGTGCGTGAATTACAAGATTGTTATCTCCAACTGAAGCTACAATCCCAGCTTATCTCCCTCAAATTTGAGCTAGTGGCAATAACAGATTTGATTCTTCACATCTTCAAACAACATGGGGGAAAGTCTTATGATTTGCACAGAACAGGTAAAAAGAGTTGAAAAATATAAATGCGATGGTGCTTGGGAGACATCAGAGGCTGTTTTTCTTTTTGCTCCCACTTCACAACGCATTGCTCTCTTGCAGTTTAGTTTGCTGTTCCCCATCTCGCTCATCAAGACAAAATTTCAAACCAGCTTTATATTACACCAGGTTTTTGCTTGATTTTTATCTTTTTGTTTTTGTAGATGTGCGACTCCTCCTCAACAATGACAACCTCCTTCGGGAAGGGGCAGCACAGTAAGTTATTTTGCAGATCTGTGTGTCTCATGTTATAGTGGCAAGAAAAAGTATGCAGACCTTTTGGAATAAACTGTTTTTTGCAGTAATTTGACCAAAAAATTAATATCTGGTCCTCATCTAAGTCGGAACAATAGACAAACACAATGAGCTTCAGGCTATGTTTACACAGAAACGATCTGAAGAGAAAACGCGAACGTGGCGTTACGTTATCACTTTTTAATCTGCGTTTAGACGAGGGTTATGGGTGGGAAATCCGCGTGCATATGGTGTGAAATTCGATGTAGTATGCACTCCAGGCAGCTAGGTGGCGATGTTGAGCACTGCCACACAACACCAAGTCTGCGCGCCTGCGTACAACCTTCCCTGTTTAGCAGACACTTGCGTTTTTACCCTTTAGACGGGAACGCAACGGTGGATCGTTTTTAAGATTTCCTCTCTGGAGGGTGGTTTCACTTTTTTGCGTTTTTAAGCCCCAAAAACGCCGTCGCCGTGTAAACGAAAGGCATATCCGATAAAATATTTTTACGTTTTCAGCCGCAAGCGTTCTCTTGTAAACAGGGCCTGATGATAGGGCAAGATGATAAAACAAAACCATTAAAGCCATCCTGATATTATCCTGTAGGATATTTTGGTGCATAAACACTTTGAGATTGCTTTGAGTGTCTTTTATCAGTCAAAGTAGCTCTACACCACACCTTCAAACTCATTTCATTAATTGGTCTCCAGGTGGGCAAACTTCTGACTCCAATTAGCTTTTGTTGAAGTAATTAGTCTATGGAATGACTTTTTCTTCCAAACACTTTGAATGTTTAATGGGTGTGTTCAATGAAATTGTTTGTGTGTTATGAGCTTAAGCACTTTGTGTTTGTCTGTTGTTGTGACTTATGGCAGAAAACCAGTTCATTTCAATGGGTTCACATACTTTTGCCGTCCAGATGCATCTGTGTGTTTAAAGTTTGTGATTCTAAAGAGGATTCATGCTGCATTGTCTCTTTCTCTGTTTCCCAGTGCCTTTGCTCAGTATAATATGGATCAGTTCACACCTGTCAAACTGGATGGAAGTGAGGAGTCGGTAGGTTCATGATTTGATTGCAGTTCAAACTCTCAGATTCAGTTTAGGTTGTAAATGTCCAAGTACGTTGAGTTCCTGTCTTGTCCTAAGACTCTGTTTTAAATTGAGAGCACACTGTTGACACATTATTTATTCAAGCTGGGTGTAAACTCTGCTCTCTGGAGATCTGTGTTTACTTTGTATGTGTGATTAGGGCAGGTGTGGTCATTGAACTGGGAGTGTTTGCTGCTGCATGAGAGTGGCTGTAGAGCTCTGTGTGTGATTTAGTTCTGTCTGAAGAACAAGGCACATCCTGTTCCTGCAGGTTCTGATCACCGAGCATGGAGATCTGGGTCAGGGACGGTTCTTCGACCCACGGAAGCGGGTTTCATTCCGTTTCGATCACCTCCGAAAGGAAGCGAGCGATCCTCAGTCTTACGAGGGAGAGACCGGCCTCCGGTCCTGGAGAGACGCCTGTGATGAAGTGCTCAGTGCTTACGTGAAGGAGCACTATCCCAGTGGAGTTTGCACGGTACGTGTTTCCCATGGGAATCTCAACAAAATAATATGATTTCTGTAATGCGTATGCATTGCAGCCATTATTTGTGAAATCATGCTCCCTTGGACACATATGTTCTGATGTTTTTGCTACAGGTCTATGGGAAAACTGTTGATGGTCAGCAAACAATCATTGCTTGTATTGAGGGTCATAAGTTTGAGCCCAAAAACTTTTGGTGAGTAATGTTCAGTGATTTATCATCGTATAGGTGACTCTCTGGAATAGCTAATTCTAATTGTTCATTCAAAGCATTTAAATATTATTGTCATATAATGTGACAACTGATTTCATACATAACTTTAATGTTACTTTTCAGTCTCTTTCATCTCGCATAATAAATGAATTTAAACTCTTATCAGTATTTCATGTCTTTTTATTTTTTAATTGATTTACACTACCATTCAAAAGTTTGGAGTCAAAAAGTTTTTGAAAGAAGTCTCTTCTGCTTACCAATGCTGAATTTAGTTGACTAAACATACTGTAAACAGTAATATTGTGAAATATTATTACAATTTAAAATTTTCTCTTGATATATTTTAAAATTTAATTTATTCATGTGATGGCAATTTTTAGCAGCAATGCTGAAAAGTGGTACTGCTTAAAGTTATGTGGAAATGTTATAATATCCTTCCAAGATTCTTTAATGAATAAAAAGTTAAAAAGAACAGCATTTATTTGAAATGGAATACTTTTTTAACATAAATGTCTTTACTGTGCAGTCATCAGTCACTTTGATTCAAAAGCTATAATGGTCTGATTGAACCTCGACTCAGATGATCTTATCATCTTGTTTTTCTCTTGTTAGGAATGGCCGGTGCAGGTCAGAGTGGAAGTTCACCATTAGTCAGTCATCAGCTCAGGTGGTGGGAGTATTGAAGATCCAGGTGAGACTTGACAGACAAGAATAGTGGGGATGCGAAGAAAGTTTGACGGTGAAGAGTTTTTAATAAATAATTTCCTACAGGTGCATTATTACGAGGATGGTAATGTTCAACTGGTGAGCCATAAGGAAGTGGAGGAGTCCATTGTAGTGACTGTAAGTAAAAAAAACCCCAAATGTTTATGTTTGGTTAATGTGTAAGATTTCAAATTAAATTCCTGCCTTTTTATCTCTAGAATGAAATCCAGACTGCCAAGGAATTTATAAAAATCATTGAAAATGCTGAAAATGATTACCAGGTGAGAATTTGTTCATGTGTACATTTAATTATTTTATGACTTTACATCCCTAATAAATGCTTTCCTCCAGACGGCTATCAGTGAGAACTACCAGACAATGTCGGACACCACCTTCAAAGCTCTCCGCAGACAGCTGCCCGTCACTCGCACTAAGATCGACTGGAACAAGATCCTCAGCTACAAGATCGGCAAAGAGATGCAAAACGCTTAGAACCACCCCGGTTCCTTTTCCTTCTTTTAAATAGCAGAGCCGGCTCTCAGAACACCACAGGCCGTTCACTCAGTCTGAAGAAGTCTCCCAAAAATGAAAAAAAAAAAAAAAAAAAACTGTTTAAAAGAGGATGTAATTTCAGTCAACTTTCTGTCATTAATGGACTTCGATGGGTCTCAGCTGTGGAAGAGGTTTAAACGAGAACTTGAGGGATCGTGGATCTAAATTATCGACAGTTATTGCTTTTCTCTCATTTACCCGCTCGCAAGTCACTCAAAGAGTTTGTATTGTTTTGACTTGTCTTTTTTTTGTGAACTGTTACAGCTGCAATACTTGTGCAAACGGTTTTGTGTTTTAAAACAGTGGATAAGTTATGCCTCATTCACTCTATTTCTAAACCCCAATCAGGCGACAACCCCCTTTTCTTCCTCTTCCTCCACCTACTGACAACCTGGAGAGATGAGATTTCCTGCTGTCCTGTCCTCAACTATCCAGGTTGTAACAGGGAAAATTATGATGTTGGGAGAGGAGGGGAATGGGTTGTGTGTCTGTGTTTGGAATGGTCATCTGTCTTAACTGCTTTCTTCGTATCTTTCTCTAAAAGTGACTCACAATCTGCTAAACTAAAATGGTTTAATAACCAAAAAAGACAAAATAAATGAATCCATGGATAACCCTCTTTTTGTGGCAAAGACATCCAAATTAAGGCTTTATTTTTATAATTACACACCTGTTGACTTGTTTTCAGATATAGTTCAGACTGTCTGTTACAGGTACTTGTGATGCATTTAGGGTATCCACAGTCTGCGACAAATCCAAAACCCACACAGTAAATCCGATCTCTGTGAACTGACTGAGCTCCGTTGCATGTTTCTGCCGCACTGCTTTCACGTTGACTTTAGTCTTGTTTGTCTTTACTGTTCCATCAAAGATCCTCTGTAATATACACCCATCATGTAAGACTGCATATTCTCTTTCTCTCGTAACCTTTATTTTATTTTTTTTCAGATTTTAAATCATGCAAAATTAATGTCAACTCACAGTAAATGGCAACCATAATGACTAAATGGTTACTGCTGAACCTTTTATTTTGTATATCAACTGTTGAATTTGTAGCGCAATGCTGTGCAGATTCCACTTTCTTTATTTGTAGTGATGTTCTCTTGTTGATATATATTCACAATAATCAATGTATATAAAAAAACAACAGCGTAAACTTCAAAAACTCTTTATTAGCTCAGGGAAATAAATTCACTCAATTCCTAACTAGCTGGAAAAATCATCTGGAAAAATTCAACTAAATTTAACAAACAGTATTTTCATACAAATAGCTGAAAACTGGTCTGTACAAGTCTCAGGTAGAAATATAAAATTCTGGTTCAGTTTTGAAAAACAAAACAAAAACATTCCAGTAGTAAAAATCAAAACTGCTATTTGAAAATGTTTCAATACAGTAGGAGAAATAGTGAGGTATTAAAAAAAAAAAATCCAGAAAAGCAAATGACCATAGAGCAGCTGAAATCTATGTAAGAAAGGACAGAAACATGCATCACATTTACATATAAAACACAGCATACTTTGTTTTTTCGTAAGCAAGTTAAGACTATGCTGCATTTATGTGAGCAATACCTTAATGCCAGCACGATTTTTTTTACACAAACATTAAATCATTTTTATTTTCAATACTAGTTGCATTATAAAGGTCAAAAGAGGACACAGGTAAGAAAAAAAGTCATTAAATTATGACATTAACTCATTTGTGCTTTTACCATGGTTAAACATGTAAACTGGTGTTATGGCTACCAAGTATTTAATTAAGATTATTTTTTTAAATGCAAGGCTTTCCAGTCTAAACAATTTAGAGCAATGATATATATATATATATATATATATATATATATATATATATATATATATATATATATATATATATATATATATATATATATATATATATATATATATATATATATATATATCAAGGCATGGCTATTAGACCCAGAAATGTATTCTTAGAATATTTTGACTTGATTCTAAATATTGTTTGCAATCATTTAAACCATGTCTGTGAATATGTGTGGCATATAAACAAGCATTTTTTTTTATCCCACATTTACAGAGAATGTATTCTGGTTTGGCTGATGTTTAACACCACCAGATGGCAGCTTCCTGAGCAGCACTTCAGATTGACACTAGAGGACGATGTAGTCATGATGCAATACAGTAGGACAGAGGGTTTTTTTCATGACCACTTCATATTAGTTCCTTAGAAATTATCTCCAGTAGTAAATTTTGACATTGACTGAAGAACAGTAACTGCACATCTTATATGACTGCTCGACAGAAAACTAACAGTTATACATTTTACCATAAACAATATATAAACATCTCACACTCACAAAACAGATTGAGAATTTTCTCATTAGTAGCCAAAGACTGACAGATTGGTTGAAGACTTGGTCAATCAGTATTGCATGTGCTTGATTTCATAACATATTTTTACTTTATATACTTCCATATCTATCTGTGCAGGTCATTAGGAATGGACTAATTACAACAAATAACATTATTTATTAGGATAAATAAAAATCCTTTTGTAAAAAATAAAAACAGAATAAAATATCTATATATATAAAAGATTAAAATAGTATATAAATAGATTCAATCTTATAGGAGGAGAATTTGACAGGCTGGTTAAGTGTGTGAGCGTTAGTTACCTTTCAACATTTGACAGGATGAGTTAGGTGCAGAAAAAGGTTTGTTCTGGGATACCAATGTTTTAGGGGGAATCGTCTCTGAGTGCACTTATACCTGACTGCATCTGAGAGACCAGTCTAATGTAGATACAGCAGGAATGTTTAATCCTGCTCCTGGAGGACTACTTTCATACAAAGTTTACCTCAAACATGCATCAACACACCTGCCTGGACATTTCTCACAATCCTGAAGACTGGTTAAGGTGTTTAATTAGGGTTGGACCCTTCAAAAACAGGATTGGACACCCTTTGGGGGTTGCCAAATTGTCGGCCGGTTTTCCAAACCTGAGAGACCCCACACACGGCGATTAAAAAAATCACGGGTCTAACAGTTTTGGTCATACAGTGTGTGGTGCGCAGCCACATGGCAAAATCAACACATCACACACGAACCGATTTGACTCCCAAGCATTCCCAGGTCAGACGGAAAATCTCGTAAAATCCCTCAAGATCAAACGTGACTTCAGAGTAAACAATCATGACGGACGAAAAGGATGCAGTGGCGATAGAGTGCAGTTTGTTTTTAACGGAAAAAAAGTCCACCGGACATTCTGGTGCACTATACCGCCGGGCACCGGCTGTTTTGATTTTGTTTCCCGCCGGTGCTTCCTCTAAGCCTCGTCACCTCGCTTTCTGATTGGCTACATGCCACAGTTCACAGGCTGCATGCTCGCTCGTTCGTCCCCGGGGGACACACACACGATGATAAATCGGGCCAAACAAAATTGAGATCGGAGCGGTCCCGGCCTCCTTCCGAGCAGACGAGAGCAGTCTTAACACACCAAACAAGGCAGGAATATCTGATCAGATTATTTTATGATAATCGGAGCATCCTTAAGATTGTCGGAAGGGGTGAATCGGGGCTAAAATCGGGGCTAATAATCCTGCGGTGTGAACCAGCCTTAAGCTGGTTCAGGTGTGTTTCATCAAATTGCTCTCCAGGATCAGGGTTAGCTACCCTGCACTAGACCAAAAGTTTTCAATCGTGGAGTATTGTACGTAGCACTGAACAATTTGGATGTCTTTCTTATTTAAGAAACTTTCCAAGAACTGTGTCAGATAAGGGAGACATCCAAAACAGGGTACTGAAGGACAAGAATTGACAACTACAACAATAGAAAATTAGGGTGAAGAGTCCTTCAGATGCCACGGAAGTGAATAAGGCAAAGGACTGGCTGTGTACTCTAGGCTGGTTAACTAGATGATGACACAACCAAGTCAAGCTCTGTAGCATCTTCCTGACTACTGGTGAGACCACAGCTCCCAGTGAGCTCAGGGAAGTGGCTGGCCTTGCCAGAAGGAACCGGTGAGTTAGGAGACTGGTTGACCCCCTGCTTTTTGGGAGGAACAGGAGGTGGATGAAACTTCTCCGCCCTAGGAATTATCGGTGAGCGGATCCCCGGTGAGAGAATTCCTGGGCTTTTCCCTGTAGGTGAGGAGACCGCAGCCAGGTTGCGGTAATCAGTGCCAAAAGGTGAGCTGTTGGATGGAGGGAGTTTATTTGCCACTTGTTGGCTTGTGAACCGTGAAAGCACCTGAGTGACAGTGTTGCGGGCCATCTGCTTTGCAGTAGAATTGTCTGGAGTTGGAGGAGGAGTGGCGGCAGTGGGAGAGAGGTCTCTGGGCGAGTGGACAACAGTTCCTCCAAGTTGCTGGTCTACCTCAGCTTGTTGTTGAAACTTGTGGCGTGCTGCTTGGAATCGTTGGTTGATACTGGCCTGGTAAGAGGAGGGATAGGTTGGACTAGAGCAACCTAGAGAGGCCAGACGCTTGGTCAGTACAGGGGAAGAGCAAGGAGATGAGCTAAGGGAGGACGAGGCAGGACTGCTGGGGGAGAGACACTGTAAGGCCCCACTTCCTCCAGGGAGCATTACCCCATTGTCCGCCAATCCCCCTTCCTTACACCTCTCTTCGGCTGGAGACTCCGGCTCTCTGGGAGCGTGTTGACCATTTTGTTTGTGTTGAGGAGATGATTTAGATGCAACAGTTTTGCCATCGACTTCTGTTTGACTAAGTGAAGGCATGATACCTGAAGGTGTGATATCTTTCTCTGGGATTTTGACCTTTTCTTCATTATCCTTTTCTATTCTGGCCTTTTCTCTTTCTTTAATTTCATCCAACTCTTTCTTTAGACTATTGAACTGTTCCAAAAGCTCTTGATATCGTTTTTCTTCCTTCAGTAGTTTCCCTCTCATCTGCTTGTGCTCTCTATCAAATTCAGCCAGCTTTTTCTCAGCTCTTGCCTCTATCTGCTGAGCACGAGCATGTTCGCTTTCGAGCTCTCGTTTTACGATTTCGATGGCACTGCTCTCCTGTTCCAGTTGGCGGCTGAGGTCTGCAACACGCTGACTCTCCTCCTCTGCCCGTGCTGTAGCCTTCTGACATTCTTTAGCCAGTGTCGAGGATAACTGCTGCTGCTGTGCTAAATCTTCCTCAGCTTGATTTGACAGAACTGACTGCTCACGTTCTAAACGCTGGACTTGACCCCTCTCGAACTCCAGCTGTAAAGAATAAAAGCAAGAGATGTTACTTAAATAAATTCAAAGAAGCTAGTAGAGTCAGACAGTAGGGGAGCGCGGGGCACAACCTAACGCGGGGTTAAATGTAACACGGACCGTTTACATAGTTTGTCAGGATCAAGCCGGCCGTCTTTCCGCTATTTTTCTCTTGCTGCCAGAAGACAATCTCCCGGGAATTTGCGGAAAGTTTTGATTATATTTCGTGAAGATACTGGACAAAGAGTGTTTTGACACCATGAAAGCAATTTTTTTCATCATAGGTTTTTTTCGGTTTCTGAGTTGGGTGTATACGTTTCCAAATCTAACTTTATATAGCCTTAATCACTGTCTTGTTGGCTCAAACATAACACCGTTTTGAAACATGTCAGCAATTCCTAGCGACTGTTAGCTAGGGTTAAAATATGTAATACACAGCGGGGTTGGTTGTAACAGAGTGTTTCAACTTAGCCTCCAAGTGTACAATGATAATCAAATGAAAACGGATCCACACAACTTTTCAGGTTTGAGTATACATTTACCTTTGTTAGACTTTAACAAACAATGTTGGGATTTAAAATGTTTAAAATTTAGTGTACTATGAATGATAACTTGTTTATTTATTAAAAATATGGCCTGTTATTAATGCAATAAACCCTTTCAATTTTTATTTTAAGCTCATTTGTATTATCATTACTGTTATTATTAATAATAATAATAATTGTACATCATGCAGCAAAATTTCGACCCGAAAAAAAAAAAAAACGACAGTGGTACCCCTTTCGTTTTTTTTTGGGCGAAAAATTAAGTTTCTCCCAATCTTCTCAAAACTCTGGATTTTGATGGAGGGCCATGAGACTTAAACTTGAGTGCAAAAATGGAGGCTCTAGACCCTTCCAGAGCTGAGATATCGAATCTCAAAATTTCGACCCGAAAAAAAAAAAAAAACGACAGTGGTACCCCTTTTGTTTTTGTTTTTCGGCCAAATATTAAGTTTCTCCAATCTTCTCAAAACTCTGGATTCTGATAGAGGGCAATGAGACTTAAACCTGAGTGCAAAAATGGAGGCTCTAGACCCTTCCAGAGCTGAGATATCAAATCTCAAAATTTCGACCCGAAAAAAAAACGAAAGTGGTACCCCTTTCGTTTTTTTTTTTTGGGCGAAAAATTAAGTTTCTCCAATCTTCTCAAAACTCTGGATTCTTATAGAGGGCCATGAGACTTAGACCTGAGTGCAAAAATGGAGGCTCTAGACCCTTCCAGAGCTGAGATATCGAAACTCAAAATTCGGCCCGAAAAAAAAAAACGACAGTGGTACCCCTTACGTTTTTTTTTTTTTTGGGCGAAAATTTAAGTTTCTCCAATCTTCCCAAAACTCTGGATTCTGATAGAGGGCCATGAGACTTAGACCTGAGTGCAAAAATGGAGGCTCTAGACCCCTTCCAGAGCTGAGATATCGAAACTCAAATATTCGACCCAAAAAAAAACGACAGTGGTACCCCTTCGTTTTTTTTTTGGGCGAAAAATTAAGTTTCTCCAATCTTCTCAAAACTCTGGATTCTGATAGAGGGCCATGAGACTTAGACCTGAGTGCAAAAATGGAGGCTCTAGCCCCTTCCAGAGCTGAGATATCGAAACTCAAAAATTCGACCCGAAAAAAAAAAAACGACAGTGGTACCCCTTTCGTTTTTTTTTTTTGGGCGAAAAATTAAGTTTTTCCAATCTTCTCAAAACTCTGGATTCTGATAGAGGGCCATGAGACTTAGACCTGAGTGCAAAAATGGAGGCTCTAGACCCTTCCAGAGCTGAGATATCGAAACTCAAAATTCGGCCCGAAAAAAAAACGACAGTGGTACCCCCTTACGTTTTTTTTTTTTGGGCGAAAAATTAAGTTTCTCCAATCTTCCCAAAACTCTGGATTCTGATAGAGGGCCATGAGACTTAGACCTGAGTGCAAAAATGGAGGCTCTAGACCCTTCCAGAGCTGAGATATCGAAACTCAAAATTTGACCCGAAAAAAAACGACAGTGGTACCCCTTACGTTTTTTTTTGGGGCGAAAATTAAGTTTCTCCAATCTTCTCAAAACTCTGGATTCTGATAGAGGGCCATGAGACTTAGACCTGAGTGCAAAAATGGAGGCTCTAGACCCTTCCAGAGCTGAGATATCAAAACTCAAAATTCGACCCGAAAAAAAAACGACAGTGGTACCCCTTACGTTTTTTTTTTTTTGGGCGAAAAATTAAGTTTCTCCAATCTTCCCAAAACTCTGGATTCTGATAGAGGGCCATGAGACTTAGACCTGAGTGCAAAAATGGAGGCTCTAGCCCTTCCAGAGCTGAGATATCGAAACTCAAAATTCGACCCGAAAAAAAAACGACAGTGGTACCCCTTATGTTTTTTTTTTTGGGGGGGCGAAAATTTAAGTTTCTCCAATCTTCTCAAAACTCTGGATTCTGATAGAGGGCCATGAGACTTAGACCTGAGTGCAAAAATGGAGGCTCTAGCCCCTTCCAGAGCTGAGATATCAAAACTCAAAAATTCGGCCCGAAAAAAAAACGACAGTGGTACCCCTTACGTTTTTTTTTTTGGGCGAAAATTAAGTTTCTCCAATCTTCCCAAAACTCTGGATTCTGATAGAGGGCCATGAGACTTAGACCTGAGTGCAAAAATGGAGGCTCTAGCCCTTCCAGAGCTGAGATATCGAAACTCAAAAATTCGACCCGAAAAAAAAAACGACAGTGGTACCCCTTATGTTTTTTTTTTGGGCGAAAATTAAGTTTCTCCAATCTTCTCAAAACTCTGGATTCTGATAGAGGGCCATGAGACTTAGACCTGAGTGCAAAAATGGAGGCTCTAGCCCCTTCCAGAGCTGAGATATCGAAACTCAAAAATTCGACCCGAAAAAAAAACGACAGTGGTACCCCTTACGTTTTTTTTTTGGGCGAAAAATTAAGTTTCTCCAATCTTCTCAAAACTCTGGATTCTGATAGAGGGCCATGAGACTTAGACCTGAGTGCAAAAATGGAGGCTCTAGACCCTTCCAGAGCTGAGATATCGAAACTCAAAAATTTCGACCCGAAAAAAAAAAACGACAGTGTTACCCCTTTCGTTTTTTTTTCATTTTTGGGCGAAAAATTAAGTTTCTCCAATCTTCTCAAAACTCTGGATTCTGATAGAGGGCCATGAGACTTTGACCTGAGTGCAAAAATGGAGGCTCTAGACCCTTCCAGAGCTGAGATATCGAAATTCAAAATTTCGACCCGAAAAAAAACGACAGTGTTACCCCTTTCGTTTTTTTTTCATTTTTGGCGAAAAATTAAGTTTCTCCAATCTTCTCAAAACTCTGGATTATGATAGAGGGCTGTGAGACTTTGACCTGAGTGCAAAAATGGAGGCTCTAGACCCTTCCAGAGCTGAGATATCGAAATTCAAAATTTCGACCCAAAAAAAAAAACGACAGTGTTACCCCTTTCGTTTTTTTCATTTTTGGGCGAAAAATTAAGTTTCTCCAATCTTCTCAAAACTCTGGATTATGATAGAGGGCTGTGAGACTTTGACCTGAGTGCAAAAATGGAGGCTCTAGACCCTTCCAGAGCTGAGATATCGAAATTCAAAATTTCGACCCGAAAAAAAAAACGACAGTGTTACCCCTTTCGTTTTTTTCATTTGTGGGCGAAAAATTAAGTTTCTCCAATCTTCTCAAAACTCTGGATTATGATAGAGGGCTGTGAGACTTTGACCTGAGTGCAAAAATGGAGGCTCTAGACCCTTCCAGAGCTGAGATATCGAAATTCAAAATTTCGACCCGAAAAAAAAACGACAGTGTTACCCCTTTCGTTTTTTTTTTTTTTTGGGCGAAAAATTAAGTTTCTCCAATCTTCTCAAAACTCTGGATTATGATAGAGGGCTGTGAGACTTTGACCTGAGTGCAAAAATGGAGGCTCTAGACCCTTCCAGAGCTGAGATATCGAAATTCAAAATTTCGACCCGAAAAAAAAAACGACAGTGTTACCCCTTTCGTTTTTTTCATTTTTGGGCGAAAAATTAAGTTTCTCCAATCTTCTCAAAACTCTGGATTATGATAGAGGGCTGTGAGACTTTGACCTGAGTGCAAAAATGGAGGCTCTAGACCCTTCCAGAGCTGAGATATCGAAATTCAAAATTTCGACCCGAAAAAAAAAACGACAGTGTTACCCCTTTCGTTTTTTTTCATTTTTGGGCGAAAAATTAAGTTTCTCCAATCTTCTCAAAACTCTGGATTATGATAGAGGGCTGTGAGACTTTGACCTGAGTGCAAAAATGGAGGCTCTAGACCCTTCCAGAGCTGAGATATCGAAATTCAAAATTTCGACCCGAAAAAAAAAACGACAGTGTTACCCCTTTCGTTTTTTTTTTTGGGCGAAAAATTAAGTTTCTCCAATCTTCTCAAAACTCTGGATTATGATAGAGGGCCTGTGAGACTTTGACCTGAGTGCAAAAATGGAGGCTCTAGACCCTTCCAGAGCTGAGATATCGAAATTCAAAATTTCGACCCGAAAAAAAAAACGACAGTGTTACCCCTTTCGTTTTTTTTCATTTTTGGGCGAAAAATTAAGTTTCTCCAATCTTCTCAAAACTCTGGATTATGATAGAGGGCTGTGAGACTTTGACCTGAGTGCAAAAATGGAGGCTCTAGACCCTTCCAGAGCTGAGATATCGAAATTCAAAATTTCGACCCGAAAAAAAAACGACAGTGTTACCCCTTTCGTTTTTTTTCATTTTTGGGCGAAAAATTAAGTTTCTCCAATCTTCTCAAAACTCTGGATTATGATAGAGGGCTGTGAGACTTTGACCTGAGTGCAAAAATGGAGGCTCTAGACCCTTCCAGAGCTGAGATATCGAAATTCAAAATTTCGACCCGAAAAAAAAACGACAGTGTTACCCCTTTCGTTTTTTTTCATTTTTGGGCGAAAAATTAAGTTTCTCCAATCTTCTCAAAACTCTGGATTATGATAGAGGGCTGTGA